TAGAACTATTTCATTTTAGGTAGTTGAAATGTTATTTTTTTTTAAAACTAAATTTTTAATCATACATTGTACACTTGAAATTTTACTCTAATGAAATATTCATAAATATTTTCAATATATCTTCATGCATAACTAAACATTTTTGTATATATTGTGATAGATTGTAAGAACATTATCAGAATATAGATTTCAATGGTTTCTTCATTTGAAAACAAAAATTCATCAACTTGACAGTCAAGTATCATAACTAAATGAGTTAATGAACTTACATTAGCAAACCTTCATTCTCTTCTCTAGTTATCTAATAATATTTTGTCTACAATATGTCTAGTCCATGTAGGTATCGCTTGTATAAGTCTGTTTATCATCAAAAATTGTTGAGCTTTTGTTTGAGATTAACAAAATTAATGAATAATTTACTTAGGAAAGATGAAAATCAATTTTTTGAAATAAAAATTCTTTATTTTTAATTAGAGTTATGGAGATTAGTGTTATTAAACATTTGAAATCATCAATCAATCATTGTCAGACCACCATTAGAAACCTGGGAGAACCACGGCCGTTTCATCATGGTACGCCACTCATCAGCAGTGCGCATCCACGACTCCTGCTCCTTCCAGGGTTCGAACCCAGGACCTTCGTTATTGTTTGCGAAAGCCTAACCTCTGGACCATTGTGCTAGCCGGCATCCAACGGTGTTCATATCTACTTCTGATTGATCTAGGGATTTTGCGCGACCTCACTCATTTGTTTCCGGTAGTTACTGCCTACACGCGACAGGGTTGAACTCCACTTGTCACGTCTTTTTCTCGGAGAAGCTAGTCACTAGTGAGCACTGTTACAATATTTTCATTTAGAGTGATGCAGATTTGTGTTTTTACACATTTGAAATCATTAATCCTTTGCTTTATTGGTTTATTGACAAATTAACTGGTAAATATTCATTTACAGTATTAGTTTCTGTTTAGTTCACTCTTTTAAAGATCAGACTGTGTTTCGAACCATTATCATAGGGTCAAGTTGTATCAGATAATTGAGTTGTATTGAACAATTTGTAACAATGATTGATTGATGATTTAAAATATGCGGCAAACACTAATCTCCATAACTTTAATTGAAAAAAAATCGTAAAATATGCTCACTCCTGACTAGCTTCGTGAAGAAATTCTCGGAGTTCTAGTGAGAAGACGTGACCGATGGAGTTCAACCCTGACATGTAGAGGCAGTAACTATCAAAGACAAATGGTTGAGGTCTCACAAAGTCCTTAGATTGATCGGAGTAAGATATTAACACCGTTGGATATCGGCCCAGTGGTCCGGAGGTTAGATGTTCGCACGCAAAGCCGAAGGTCCTTGGTCTGAATCCCACGGGCTGCAGGAGTCATGGATGTGCACCGCTGATGAGTCCCATACTAAAACAAAACCGCTGTCCAGTGCTTCCAGGTTTTTTTAATGGCTATCTAACAATGAGTGATTGATGATTTCAAATGTGTAAAAACATTGACCTTCATAACTAATTAAAATTTTTTTTTAGAAATTAAGATTTTCTAGAAATAATAAACATTTGAAAAAAAATTAAAACAAACACTTGACAGTTATGATTATAATTTATAATTTCTTTACAATGTACAGTTCTTACTTTGTAGATAACTTTTATTTTAAATAATGATTTGGACTTTTATATATGAGGGATATTAATTAGTTGTGAAAAAATTATGATTTAATTTTTTGAAATCTTCTTCTAAACTTCTAAACATATTTACTTAATTATCTGATTACTAATAATGATTGACAATTTCAAGATAATTCATGAACAATAGTAAAGTTGAACAACTGTCAATGCAAATCCTACTGTGTTAATATTATTATTATTATTTCGGAATATTTCTGTCCTCTATAATTTGACTTATTTGATTACTGATGTACATATTATCACATGAAAAACTGTTTACTTTTCTTCTAATGATTGAAATTAGGACAAAAAAATGAACTGAATTGACATTGTGAATTGAATTATGCAATAGTATTGAAGGAACCAATGATAGTTTTGTTAATTACTTGACATTGTGAATTTGTGGCGGAATTTTTTTATATTTAAAAGTAGAAACGATGTATATGGGTACTTGTAAGTTATTTATTTCATGAAAAGTACAATTTTTTTTAAAAAAAAGTATATCTGAATTCATGAAAGAAATACGAAGGTTTTTTCAATAAATTTTTCAAACGAACACTGAATCTACAGAAGTTTTGATGAAAATAACCATTATGAGAAATCACATGATCACGTGGCGGAAGTATAAAGAAGTTACTGGAACTCATGAGACAAATGCGAAATAAGTTAAGCACACCGAATAATATTCATGTTCTGACTATTCAGTGGTAGATTTTTTAAGAATTAACGCCTGCATTCGGTTATGTCAGTAGACGTTTCAGTGGAATGCTATTGATAACAGCAACTATAAGTCTTTTAAAAAAAAAGGGGTTTATTCTGTTCTATTTATGTGTCTATTATTGTTATTATTTGAAGATATAAAAAATGAAAAATGTGCATTCATTTTGTATAAAGATTGAACTGTTTAATCATAATCCTAAACGTTTGATGTTTGTTCAGCGTGATAAGTGACGACCCTTGTTTTACGAATACACGTAAACATATCAATTTGATAGGCTTGAGCTACTTAAGGGTTTACCTAAGTCAGTAAACGAGAGAGAGGATGGAGGATCCGGCGACACGACAGGCTAGTCTAATCCGATTGTCCCAAACCCTACATTGAGGAAAAGAAGAAGACTTGATATGAAGTAGAACGTGTATTCTACATGCATCCAGAAAGTACGAGGTCCGAGTGCAGAATAGAATCAGGATCCTTGACTAGGGATCTGGATCATAAAACTTTACAGATAATGCGTATTTATACAGTTAGGTCGAAAAGAAAACTTGATTGAAGTTTGTGGTATTAACAGTTAGGCCGACCAATGGGAAACAACATTGAAGTACATGACACTGATAGCTAGGACGACTATAATATTGACCAGTAGGAAATGACCAATAGAATTAGACGTACAAAAATAATTCTCTTGGGATATTTGATGAATATCCTAACACATTGATAATCTTCTGTTCATGGATAAATTACATTTATAAGCGTATTTGGTTCCGACGACGTCTCTGAAGCAGTAAGTTACGTCCTTCTGATCTTTAATACCGAAATATAGTACTGCAAATGACTGCGCACGTTACGCTGTAACTGTGTGCTTCAAAACAAACTTTTTAGTCGACATTTGAAAAAGTCACAAAGTAAACTGACAGTTTTGATTACCTGAATTCTTGACGCACACTGCAGGCACCCTGTGCAATGATTCGATTTCTTTACGTTTCTTAAAAGAAATCTATTTCAAAAACGGCTGAAGTTTCAGACTGCAGTAAAGGTCCGAAACTCTAAATCGAACATTCTGTCAAACGGTAGGATCAAGGGTGCTACTCATGAAAAACACAGAAAATTATACTTGTGAATCATTGACTATCTGTTTTTGGTGAATAATTCTTCTACCATACAAACATGATTGAAGGATCAGCATCCACAACCAATAGCTTGAATTATTTACTATACACGGTATATAGTGACGATGTCATTTCATTCTGCATACATATTTAGTGTAAGAATCACTCCAGTTGTAACAGGTATTCCAGATAATAAAGTAACGACAGTATATTATTCTAACAGTAGAATGTAATCTGATAATTTCTGAAGTTCTATAGCGATAAGGTGAGTAGGCTTTCAAATGAATGGAGTATGATTGGCAAACGATGTTGAACTCTTTCTAAAAAAATCATCTATGGTATGTAACCAAATTAGTAATCATTATCTCATTATCTATTCATCGTAGACGGTTATTATTTACGCTGCAAATAATTCATCACTTATTATACTTGTCAGTAAAGGAATCTGACTATTAATGTGTACTGTACTCAAAAATCATATTGAGTTGTTTTAAGTGTCATATCAACGTTTTATCCACTGTCTTTGTGTTTGTCTCATATGTTTAGTCCAATTCATCATCCCCGGTACCAAGTATTAAGTTAGTTATGTATTATTTAGACACAACAAAAAATACGCATCAAAAACTACTGTGACTGATTTGTGGTGATGAAAGGTATGGCGACTCAGTCAGTCAGTTAGTCAGTTACAACGTAGAACTTCGTACATAAGTACATCAGTTCAGGTTGCCACACAACATTAGCACACAGACACAAATGTCAAATCAAATCCCATAGTGATAAAGATAGTAGAGGTATTAATGGTAATGAAAAAGACTAGGGTTTGAAGATATTATTCAAGAAGTAAAATTCAATGAGATAAGGTTATAAAGAGAAAACTACAGGTGTTGAAGAATCCAGAAGATTAGGACTTGAGAGAACACAAAGATTGAATGCACCAGCACCATTGCAAACGATTTTCAGCCATGTCATTCAAGAACTCTAACCATCGTTGTCTTTCGTCTCGCGAACCCCAACCAGGTAGCCTACATCTACTAACATAACTCAGTTCACTCGTCAGTGACTTCATGGATTTCTGCCATATTTTGGTCTGGCCACCACTAACTTTCTTCCAGTCTAAACCTAAACCACCAAACATTGCTCATCGAGGCAGTCGATGATGGCTGGGCTTTCATAACCCATGACGACTAGAAAGAAAAAGACACATGAATCCAAAAATTTTCCATATTTCTAATTGATTCACATTCATTTAAACAACAAGTACAAGATGATATACTTACATTTGGCGTTAATATGTTCAATACACTTGAACAATCAATCCTCTAGAAAAAAACATACATCCAAATTATAAGTTTCAGTGGTAATTTGAATTTTAAATTGTCTTTAAAATTTTTTTTTATTACGTATAAGATTATTCTTTCGTTTTTTTAAATTTTTTTGTAATTGTTTACCAATTAATTGACTTACCTCAATTTTTTTTCTATCTATCTATTAATTTTTCTAGATCATTTCAATCTTGATTCAGTAATCAATAACAATGATAAAGTAAGTACAATAAAGTTTATTCTAAACATTTTGATCATCATCATCAACATCCTCCTTCAAAAATATCAACTGACTGTAGTATATCAAACGATAATATATTTTAGTGCAATGAGAATAACATGTGACATTAATATTTTTTCTTCTCGGTCGTCTGTGACATGTAATCAAATCTTGAGATAAAATAACCATCAGTTAGCGATGATTAATTGTATAACAGTGTATATTTGTGTTTGAACAGTGCGTTATCAATTTTAGTCAAGGTCAAACACAACTCGAAAAATAGATCATAGAAAAAAGTAATCCATTCAAACATCTATGTTGATTTGAATTTCTCAGATCAATTAACTACACATTAACCTGTCTTTGTGCCCTTAGTGCGAGTTGTTACGGTTTTCAGTAACGAGAACAACAGACTACATTTGGTGAATAATTACAACACAATTAAACATAAATTTAATTATAACTTGTGAATATTCAGAACCGTTGCTATTAATCAAGTTACATGATTGTTTTGTCAGCTCCATATATTAAGCTGCAACTCAAGAATTCAAATTACAAACTTTACTTGAAATTAAGCAGAGCATAATCTATACATATGTAGCACATCACTTTAATGATTACTTCTTTGTAATAATCCAATGACTGTATCGACTTATTGTATAATTGACTGAGTGTGTGTATACTTACTCGCTTATCACATGTCTAGCCTATTATTGCTTGACTACAAATATTTACACATTTGAAATCATCAATCAGTCATTGTTAGAACACCATTAGAAACCTAAAATAATAGCTGGACGGCCGTTTCGTCCTGGTATGGAACTCATCAGCAGTGTGCATCCACGACTCCTGAACCTCACAGGACTCGAACCCAGGACCCTCGGTATTGTGCGCGGACGCCTAACCATCGGACCACTGTGCTGGCCAGCATCCAACGGTGTTCATGTCTAACTCTGACTGATCTAGGGATTTTGAGTGACCTCTCCCATTTGTCTTTGATAGTTACTGCCTACACGCGACAGGGTTGAACTCCATTGGTCACGTCTTCTCAACTAGAACTCCTAGAATTTCCTCACGAAGCTAGTCACTAGTGAGCATATGTTACGATATTTTCACTTAGAGTTGTCTAACAATGATTGATTAATGATTTCAAATGCTTAAAAACACAAATCTCCAAAGCTCTAACTGAAAATAGAAATATTTAGTCATCTCTTCAGAGCAGGAGAGTTGACCCAGCCGACTTCTTCAATTCACTTCGCTTCACTCGTTCTCATATCTGTCTGCCTAATTGACTGCATGAAATTTATTCCTCCGCTAAGCCACATTTAGCTTCTTATTACCACTGTCGCTCAAACAGGGTTCGACTAAGTGTTTTGTACGGAAACGGAAAGGAAGATTTATTTCACTGTATACTCTATCATTCGTCCAAACTGGAGTTAAATCACGGGCCGCTAAATTGGTGAGCCCGACTTGATGAGCATAACTCATCAACTAAAAACTTTTCATTGGATTTTAACTCAGCGGAAAGATTTTCATAAGATATCATTCGATTTATGTAGTTGCGAATGAACACTATTAAATAGTTTCAATATATTTCTTCAGCGAATATCAATTCGTGGTACAAACTTTCTTGTAGACATTGAATTTCATTTAATTTCTCTTTAATCCTTGTGTTTTGTTTTATTTTCCCTCTTTTCTTGAGGATTATTTCGCTGAATTTATTTTAGCGTGATTCTTCTTCTTATTATTATTATAAAACGTGATTTAACATCATTAAGTCAGTGATCATAATCTTATCTATAAATAAATCCAAGAAATCAACACAACAAAACGCCTAGACGCCATGTTTATTTTGAATACACTTGTATAGCGTGTACTGCTTCTTATATAGATTAGCATCAAACTCTGTGAAAAACAATATGAACTGATTAAATGAAAAGCAAATTCATGGATCCGCATCATCAGTATTGTATTCCATGCGGGATAATACCGTCAAGTGTAGTAATAGTAGTAGTATTAGTAGTAGTAGTAGTAGTAGTAGTAGTAGTCGTAGTATTAGTAGTAGTAGTAGTAGTAGGAGGAGGAGGAGGAGGAGTTGTGTATGTGTATTGTTTATTGGCATTCTTATCATTCTCATCTGAATTCACACATGTCAGTGTTTAAACTGAATGTTTTGGTGTGGGAGAAAGAATCTAATAATAAATACAGAAATACAAAACATTGAATCATATGTTATGCTGAGAATCCATTGTTGTTGCTGTTGTTGTTGTTACTTTCTGTTTTTAACAAATCACCTGTTTATTCATTATTATTATCATTCTATCTGTTCACATCATTATGGATTACTTTCGTATTTATCTATACAATAAACAAATGAAAAGGGCTAATCATTTCACTAGATTGACAATTGAACACCACTGTTTTAAATTGGATCATCTTTTTTTGATGAGAATCTATGTCATCCGAGATGTTGAGAGATTGAATGATGATACATTTAGTAATTTGTAAAGTGTCCAAGTTGACAGAGTAAATATGTTGCTGACATCATAACAATGATTGATGTGAGCATAAATTTGATAAACGCTCTTAATTAGCTAGCTCATTGTTCATTCAGTAATCAAAGTCTCATTGTAAATTACAATGTTATCAGATATTATCCAATAAGTGACTGTAAGAGAATGTTAACAAATTCCAACACAACCTGATAACTCGGTTCTACTATGGAACGTCATATCGATGAGAACTCACGACACCGAAGAGGAGTAGACCTTGAAAGCGCCTACTCCCACTATGAGTTCTTCAATTTTGGACCATTGAACTTAAATAAGTCCACAACCTTAAGTTCTATGAAATAGACATTAGTTCTGAAGCACTAGTGTGTTTTATGGGTACATCTCATCAAAAAATCCAGAAACTGATTCTAGTAAACAACTTAAACGGTAATTATTCATAACCTACCATCTTGAAAAAGTATACTTAGAATCAGATACTGACTAAACAATTTATTATATGACCTAAATTTTTATTGACTAACAACATATTTCAATATTTATTTGTCATTTGAACATTAAACTTACTGACGTATAAGTGGTAAATATATTGCATAATGATTTTCAGTGTATTTCCTTATTGCATTAGTCGATGAAATGCCTATTAGTGAAAGTTTTTTCTGTTACGATTTTTGAAATCGTATCAGCCTGTTATCCTGATATGTTCGTCACTAAGTACGCTTGAAGCTATTACTAGTTCACCTTAGTCGATAAACGCGAACGAGCCAATTACCATCGTCCAGATAGGCTACCTTGAATCCCAAGCTGTAAAACAGAAGGCTTTGTAAGCGTAGAAAATATATTCTACAAACACTCAGCAATCACAATACAATTAAGCACAAAACTCTCGTTTATTCATACATCATAGGAACTTCCTAGAGACAGTTAAGAAAATAGCACGCCAAAATACACAGCAGTCCATCACAGCCATGGATTTTGCCGGTGGGAAATGAAATCTCAAGGTCAACTGGTCAGCCGATGCTCGCAAACGTGAAATCCAAAAGAAGGTATTTATCAAGCGAGTTTTGGGGATCTAACATCCCCAACAAATCCATTGCATTATTCTACAGTGTCTAGAAATATCTATCTTGTAAGATTAACAAATCATTGTAAGATACTTGTATATTCATATATAAAGTACTGAATTACTTCTATTTAACTGAAAATAATTCTATTCTCTTCATTAGTTGTGTAAAAACTTATAAGCTCTACTTTTGTGTTTGAAATGTGTTTTCCTTTGTCCTTTCAAGGCTACTCTTTACTTAAAGCGCAATAAGTTTATTGATTTTCACGTTCAAAGATGAATATTTTAAAATGAATAATTTTCACAATCTAAAAAGTCGTTACTGAGTTAGGTGTTTGGTTGTGTGTTTTGTAATTTAACAATTTTTTTCATCATAAACAAATATATCGCATTCATTCTATTACATCTTAAAAATTAGTTCATTTATGATAAGCGTCAATGAACACTGTCAAGTGACTGATTAATGCCATCGTGAAACTCCAATTTTCACTCTTCTCCTTGTTAGAACTTCTCAGTTATCATTTCAACAATAGTCATTAACAGTTAGAGCTTTGGAGATTTGTGTTTTTCTACGCACTTGAAATCATCAATCAATCATTGTTAAACCGCCATTAGAAACCTGAAAGCACTGGATGGCTTTTTCGTCCTGGTATGGCACTCATCAGTGGCAGTTCGCATCCACGGCTCCTGCACCTCGCAGGATTCGAACACGGGACCTTCGGCATCGTGTGCAAACGCCTAACCTTGGACCATTAAGCTGGACGGCATCCAGCTTAATGTCTAACTTTGATTGATCTAGGGATTTTGCGCGACCTCACCAATTTTTCTTTGGTAGTTACTGCCTACACCCGACAGGGTTGAATTCGACTTCTCACTTCTTCTCACTAGAACTCCGAGAATTTCCTCACGAAGCTAGTCACTAGTGAGCAATGTTACGATATTTTCAGTTAGAACTTTGGAGATTAGTGTTTTTACACATTTGAAATCATCAATCAATCGTTGTGTTAGACCATCATTAGAAACCTGTAAGCACCGAAAGACGGCCGTTTCGTCCTGGTATGGGACTTTGAACATATAATAATCAAATAATTAGATTGATAAGCATCTAATTACTCTCCTACTTGTTATAGATCTATGTACTTAACTTCGAGTTACACTTTAAATTTGAACATCAGTGGTAAAAATACTGCATAATGATTTTCATAGTATTTCCCTAATACATTTGTCGATGAAACGCCTATGGATGAAAGTTTGTTCAGTTACAATTTTTAAAAAATTATATTACTCCGTAATTAACTGCAGCATTCCACAGTGTCTAGAAATATTTGTCTTCTAAGCTTAACCAATCACTGTTAGATACATGTATATTCATATGCAAAGTACTGAATGACTTGTATTTAACTGAAAATAATTCTACTCTCTTCATT